GAAATTAGGTATTGGAATGAAGTTAGTCAATCTTTGTAATTGAGAGAATTAGCATCTCGGTGTTGCTCTGTATTTTAATTATTAAAACCCGTTGTTTTTGGACTTAAAACATTTGTTTTCTTGAATATTCTTACACGTTTGTTTTTAGGGAAAATAATAGACAAGAATAAAGAAAATATTTATTGTTTTACAGAGTTTTAAAGTTCGTTATGGGAGACGCACAGCCAATCATCTCAAATTTTAGAGTAGTGCTTTTGTGTCGATTTTGTGAGGTTATATTTTACAGTGTTTAAATAATTACGGTGAAATTGTGAAAAAATTCATATGTGACTCACCTTGTATACATTCAGTAATAAAAAATAGTTAAGAGGTTCAAAAAAAGTTGTTTACTTTAAATATAAAGAAATCTATCTACGCTGTATTCATTTAGTTGTTATTTTTATCGATTACACCTTGTTGTTTATTATTCAGATTTCTTGCATACTTTCTGGAATAAAAACACACATTAATCATTGTTAAAAATATACGGGGCCTCTATATTTAGATATATATCTAGAAATTTATGTGTACCGTAAACGTGTGAGTCTCACGTAACAAATGATAAGGGGTGCTTTTATTCGTTCGTATCAAACATGTCAACCGTGGAATTTAAAAATTTAAATTGGCAAAATAACCTTCGTCTATATGCTAGGTATCTTTGTTTTCTAAAAGATTAGTTATCTTGTAGATTCAACGCCCTCGTGTAATGGAAATTTTGTTAATTAAAATTATACAACCTGATAACGGGGAAATTTTATTAGCTCTGCACACAATCTTATCGTCTTTATTGACATTATTAAAACTGACCCTTTAAATACAGGGTTTTCAGCAACACTCGTATGCCACGTAATGAAATTGTCATATCAGTTGTTGGTAAAAATAAAACTAAAATTCGCTAAATGTGTGTTAGGACCGTAATAGTTTACTTTTATTCCTACTAATCCAAAGAAAAATATTGTCCAAAACAGAGAGCAGACAAAAAATTGTCTGAGAAGAGATAGATCATCGAATCTTAAATCTAATATAATCTGTAATTTATCGAACAACATTTTTGTAAATATTTTTGTTGATGTTTTCTAGAATTTTTTTAAATTTCGTCATCGGATATGCTGTTTTTAATTTGACTATTCGTATCTTCATATAAAAAATATTTTATCGACGAAAATATTATTTGATAGGATTTAAATTGAATCCGGAATATTAAGTGGCAATAAAAAGAATATTAAAGTTATTGAATTTGTTCGAGAGTAAGCAGAATTCAATAATTGCAGAGTGAGAATTGAGAATTTGAATAATTTGCTATTTCCGAGAAAGCTTTTTAATAGGTATTAATTTGTTTTTCTTTTTCCGTTTCAGGTAAGTTTATAACTCAATGAAAATCGGAAGTGCTATGCGGTAAGTAAACTGGTCTTCATTAATTGAACTTTTAATTTGATAGTCATATTTTTAGTAGGTAATTAGCGATTCCATTAGGGCTTATGCTTTAATGGCTTTTACTGAAATTCAAGCGATAAAAGAATTGTAGAAGAGTACTAAGTAAACTTTAAAATATTCATTCATTTTTTTAATTTTTACGCAATGTAATTTGCAGAAAATGCAATTTACTAGATTACCAATCATATTTAGAAAGCTTTAGATAATAAAACACTATCTTTATGTATATTGTGGACCTCTCTAGACTCTTTGATACTGTTAATCATAAAAAACTACTTGTAAGACATTAGGAAAGTCCATGAATCTGCTAATCTCCAATAGAACTTGGTTAAATGAAGCGTAAATTTAACATTTTTGCACAAGGATTTGCGTTTGTTTCCATATACGATTCAGGTGACACAAGAGCTTCTTCCACAAGACCATTTACGCCGCCGTACATATGCCAATAGGATGTTAGCTCGCCCATGACAACCCCGATTTTCATGAAAAAATCATAATGAGTGTCGAGGCACATTTTCATTTGAATGGATATGTGAATAAACAAAATAGTCGATTCTGAGCAATGAAAAACCCTCAAATTATTCATCAGTCACCTTTGCATCCATTTAAAGTGACAGTCTGGTGTGCAATTTGATCAGGAGGAATCATTGGACCTTACTTCTTTGAAAATAAAAACGGCGTAACGGTAACTGTGAATGGGGAGCGATATCGTGATATGATTGAAAACTTTTTAACTCCACAACTGCATGCTTTGGACTTGATTAACATGTGGCATACAGCCAGGATTACAATGGAATTACTGCGAGACCTCTTTCAACAACAAATTATTTCAAGAAATGGTGATGTTGATTGGCTTCCACGGTCGCCTGATTTGACTGCTCCGGACTTCTTTTTGTGGGGATATTTGAAAAGCAAGGTTTATGCAAACAAACCAGAAACGCTTGAGCAACTCAAACAAAATATTCGTGATGAAATTAATGAAATACCGCGTGAAATGTGTGAGAATGTAATGAAAAATGTGCTCAAAAGGGCTCGTATTTGTGAGGCTAACAGAGGCGGACATTTATCTGATATTGTATTCCATACATAATTGCCAACATTAAATAAAACATTTATCAATATAAGGTCCATTCTCTTTTATTTAAACAAAAATTATATACAAAGTAGTATACCTTCCCGGCGGACACCCTGTATATAAAAGGGCCAATCTTTTCACCTCTGAGTGAAGCTGAAAGTAACTACTTACTGATTAATCTATAGGGATATTGTTTGTTAATCTGTCAAGTAAACCTACTGTCAACTTTAGTCATAGGTGAAAAGATCGGTCCTAAAGCGCCCTTGAGTACAAAATATATAACTAGTATACAATTTAATTAGTACGGGAGACTTGTTAAAAGCGAAAACAATTATAAAATCTTTATACAACAGAACAATTTTATTCTAAAACTACGTTGCATTGAAATACCCGATTCAGACCGTCCACATTTCAAATGTAATATTCCTAAAAGAATGGAAGTTGTTCCCTAGAGCTTTATGTAATAACTACATCGCATGCAAGGGTCGAATTTTTGATCATGGATATTGTGACAGCGAGACAATTTATTTTTCTTTTTGTTCCATCTAGGAAAGTGCAGTTTATATAAAAAAATTAAAATAATGAAAGAGAAGAGAAATGTATAAAAGGATGGTTACAATAGAACTGTGATTATTTTAAAATCCAGTTGCAATATTAAAAGGTTAAACCATACTTTTGTTTCTTCTTCTTTCCACGACCCTATCTCTCTGATTATTGTAATTAAAATTAATTGAAATAGTCACCCTTATCTCAAGTGAGAAGAGCTGCATTACAACTCCAAACCTTGGGGTAACGTAGCAAAAATGGCGCCCAATGTGGGGCATTTACGAATTTGAGGTATCAACTTATCTAGAAGAGTCCTCGAAAATAAATTTCAGTCTTCTTATAATCATCACAGATAGTCATGTTCTGCCCACACACGTCATGTGCAAAGTTGGTGTGATTTCGTCGGCTAAGTATTAGACATTTTTATATCATGCTTGTATATTTGTCAAATAGTTGTTTCCTTGTGTCATCGGCATCAAATGATGTACAGATACTTTTAATTTATTTATTTTTGAAAACATTTCTTTCTTTTTAATTTTTCTATTTTAATTTTCATTAATTAAAATAATTCCACATTTACAGTTTCTATTTTCCTTTATTCTATAAAATTTCGATGTGTATATTAGAAATAGAATTGCTTGCTACATCACCTCGTCCGATTGCATCTATTTCACCGACGTGATTGATCATCGTAATTGAATCCAGTCGGCGATTTATTCGATAACGGCTATTTTGATTAAGCCGGGTGACATTTCGATGCATGAGGGAGCAACAATGGCCTACGGCGATATTATTTCATTGTGAAGTTGATGTCACGCATTTATTAACGCCCGACCATAGACATCTATGGTATACGCTATATGCGAGTATGATAAAAACGGCGATTGGCAAAAAAGTTGTGCGCTGAATAATTGCATTTCCCACGATTCAAACCGCAATAGTTTCAAACGTAAAAAAATAGTAAAAATCTATGATTGAGATTAGTGGCATATAGGGTATACAGGTGTCAATTTAAAGAATTTGATGATCATCTGCATACATTAAAACCTTTATATCATTGATGTATAGAACAATATCATTCAAAAATATATTGAATAAAAGAGACCCCAAAATTGATCCCTGTGGTACTCCGGATAACTGCTGGAATTTTTCTGACATTATGTGGAGGTGGCTGAAGTACCAACTGGAAATATTTAAATTTAACAGCCAACGCCAGTTTAATTTTTTTGTATGGCTTTTTTTAATAGTTTTATAGCTAATCCTTTAAAAATTTTAATTCCTTTATTGTATTATTTATTATCGGTCAATATTGATTATCCCGTATATTTGTACCAATTAATAGAAGCCATTTTTGTTTGTTAGGGTGGTTTTGTATTATTAAATCTATAAAGTTTAATGTTATTATATTATCGATTTTGACTCTAGGGAAAAATAAAAAATTCATACTCGTATATGATAATATATCTATGCAGCATTTTCTTCATTATCAATGTTTACCACTATATTATAATCAAGTTTCTAAAAGTATAATGTGAAAATGTTATTAATAGAAGTACGTAGAGTGTATAACAAGTTGGTAAGTTATTCAAAACAAAAATAGAACAGCATAATATTAATTAATGAAAAATACTGCAGTATAAATGAATATTAAAATTATGTTTCATTTGACCAAGTTCTATTGTCTCTTACGTGCGACTTAATAAATTCTATTTTAAATATGATTCTATAACATTTTAATTATATTATTTGCAAATATGTACATTTTTTTTTAATCCAAATTTGCTCTAAATAATTGTATATGTTTCGTAATTAAATAAAGTTAAACAATTCATGAAAAATTAAACTAAATATTAGATTATCTTAATTTTATTTTAATTATCATTAACTGATAAAAATCACAACAGTTTTAATGATCCAAATAATACTGATGATGATGTCGAGGTGGGCAATTTTCATCTATACATCCGTATTTACAAACGTGCTGATAATATTCTGCGGATCTTCTAGCAGTTCTTGTCTTAGCTTGATTGTCAACCACGTCATATAATCCAAATTTCAATCTAAAATAACAAAAACAGTTTTAAAGTTAAAAAAAAGCTGTGGTTTTACTTACGTGTATCCAAATTGCCATTCAAATCCATCAATGTATGAGTGATATGTGTAACCGTATACTCTTGCATCATGATTAATCATCGCTGATCTGATATTTCTTAATGTGTTCTAAAATGGAAAAATTAAACTAAATGGTCATGTAAATTTTTAATATTTCATATTTTTCCAATTTGGCAACATTTATCTTTCTGTTATTATTATTATTATTGTTATCATTGTGTTAAAAAATTCGCCACAACGTTCCTGGGACTTCGACACACCCAGTACATTAAGCAAAAGGCCTGGTCGCTGAGAAGATCAATCCTTACATTCGCTCGGTCAGTGATCTTCGGCCAAATTCAATTGCCTCAAAAGACGAAGGGCCCCAAGGACTACCGCTTTGTGCATCTTCACCACTAGTTGTTTTGATGAGTCTCCGTGAACATAGTGTCCTTTATTCCCCCTAAAACACCCACAATTAGGACTACTATTCTTACACTATATTCTGGATCCATTCTTTGCAACTCTCCAATCAGTGGAGTATATTTGGCACGCTTTTTCCTCTCCTTAATAAGAATGTTGGTTTCAGCTGGTGTAGAAAACTCAATGACAACATTGAATGACTCTGCTTGTCAAACAGCACCAAATCGGGCTTGTTAGCTTGGAGTCTGGTTGTTGTGGGAAAAGCGTCATTCCAATAAATACGGCAACTGTTATTTTCCACTACCGCTTTAATTTCGACTGGGGCGTATGGCAGAACTGGTGTCTCATCTATACCGTAGTCATGTCTCAGATGATAGTAGAGAACTCGCAATTATAATTATTATTATTGTTTTGGTATCACTATCTCTAGGACAGGTGGGACAAATGTAAGATCGGCCATGGCAAAATTATTGCATTTGATTTACATAGAAACGATTAAGAATGTGCGTACAATAGAGGTACTTTGGTACTTCACCGGTCGAAGATATAATCAATGGTACTACAGACACACTCTCCAGTCTCTGGTACATTGCTTCCTTCTCAGCGTAGTATATCAAGATGTTGTGATCATTTGAGATTCCTATGTCAATTAACAAAACTCTTTTTCTTGATTTATCAACGCTTATAATGTCTGGCCTATTGTGGACTTTAGTTCAATCTGTTAGTACCGACCTATCCCAGTACAACTTGTGCGTAGAGTTTTCCAAGACAGGACTAGGCTCGTACTTGTAATATGGTATCTCTTCGCTCAGGAGGTCATATAAGCAGGCCAGGTTTTTATGGACAATCTTAGCTACTTGATTGTGTCTCAAGAGATATTCCCTTGGTACTAGTGTTGGGCAAGCGCTTGTTATGTGTTGGATGGTTTTGGAATGTTGGATGGGTTTGAATTTTTCACTTGAGCCCTTATTATGTATTTAAGGTAGTTTTTGGTGGCGATAACCTGGTCTTGGATCGCTATCATAAATGCAACTATGTCGGCTCGTCCTAACCATCCATTGGAGGCCTTAGAGTCGACATACGGTTGGCTGAGGAGGCTTGCATGACGACCATGTAGAGGTTTGGAAGTCCAGTCCTGTTTCTTCCCTTGTATATACGTCTCATCCGAGACTAATTTTATTCTCTAGTATCATGCAGTAGGTCTAAGGACGTGTATCTGTTGTCCGCTCTTACAACGGCTTGATAGAAGGCGGCGTCCTATTTCTTGAAATACTTTTGCAATCCCTGGGTTTGTTTTTGACACATCGTACTGATATCGATTATTGTGCATTCTCCTTCTTGGCGGGGAAGAATTAATCGTTTCAGTGCTGATTTAGCTTACGTGTGGCTCTCTTAATGTCCCTAATTTCCGTTTCTGTCACATATGAGTGGATACAACTGAACCTCTTTAACCAAAAGTTATGAATACCGTCTGGGCATATGGATTTCCAGTTTTGGGTTTTTATTATTATTATTATTATTATTATTATTATTATTATTATTATTATTTATTATTATTATTATTATTGCATATTTTGTCAATTAGGCAACATTGCTTTTCCTCTTGTAGCACTTTTCATTTAAAAGATTTAGACATGAAAAATCTACTAATATGAATCGATAGTATCCATAGTTTCTCATTTTGTTTTCTATAAATAAATTTTCTTTCCTATATATATAAAAACTTACCTTAATAAACTCAATTCTATCGTAATCTTCTAATGTACGATTGGTTGCTGTATAACCATTGTTAATGATGAATATGGAAGGATTGAGATACTGGTTCTTGACCCAAATAATTATATTTTTAATTCCCCATGTGTCATCCTAGAAATAAATTATGGTGCAACTGACGTTTATGTACAAAACCTGTGATCAGTTGGTATATAACATTATAAATATTAAAAATACTACTAGAAACAATTTGAATCTTTTATTATATTATGTTCTTAAAGAATTGAAAACAAATCAAATAGGCATACTTACACCTACAATTGGTCCTGTAATCACTGCACCAGAGTCGGCAGAGAATGATGGCGATAAGCAGCTTTCATCGCTTGCAGCTGCGACTGCTACAGTACGAAAATAGCAGAGAGCGTAGAAATCATGGGTGTCTTTAATCCATTGGATTTCTTTTCTGGTAAATGTGGGTAGTCTTGATTCGCAAAGACCTTGTTGTTCAGACAGCTGGCCAATTCTGTCGATCATCACTTGGGGATAGTCGCCGATGTAGATGGGATGGGCAAACCAACCAATCTTAAATTTTTGGAAATTTGTAGCTGTTACTATGGAGTTCATAATTACTTTCAAATTAGACATAATTAATCCTTTTATTATGCAAAGTGCTTAGAAAAAACTGTGATTTTTTTAATATGATTTTTAGAAAAATGTTTACTTTTGAAACATGTCTATATTAATTTTTTTTTTTCTTATAGGTATCCATTGTAACCTTGTTTAATACTATTAAAACATCCATTTCATGAAAAATTAAACTCAATATTTGTAGGTGGTCTCAATTTATTTTAAATAATATTTAATAAAAATCACAACAATTTTAATGATCCAAATAATATTGATGATGATGATGTGGAGGTGGGCAATTCTCATCTATACATCCAAATTTACAGACATTCTGATAATATGCTGCAGATCTTCTAGCAGTCCTTGTTTTAGTAGAACAATCAAATTCTACGTCGTATAATCCTAATTTCAATCTAAAATACCAATAAAAATTTTAATTAACGTATCAATATTTAAAGATTTGGTTCTGCTTACGTGTATCCAAATTGCCATTCAAATCCATCAATGTATGAGTGATATGTGTACCCATATACTCTTGCATCATGATTTATCATTGCTGATCTTATATGTGTTAATGTGCTCTAAAAAGGAAAAATTGTATTTATATTTCATAAAATTTTGTATTTTACCAATTTGGCAACATTGCTCTTTTCCTTAGCAATGTTAATTTGAAAGTTTTAAACAAAAAAATTTACTGGTATGAATTTATTTCCCAATTTGTCCTCTACTACTGTATTTATAATGAAAAACTTACCTTAATAAACTCAATTCTATCGTAATCTTCCAATGTACGATCGGTTGCTATATAACCATTGTTAATGATGAATATGGAAGGATTCAGATACTGGTTTTTGACCCAAAGAATTATGTTTTTAATTCCCCATGTGTCGTCCTAGAAATAAATTATGGTGCAACTAACTTTTATGTACAAAACATGTGATTAGTTGGTATATAACATTAATATTAAATATACTATTAGAAACAATTTAAATCTATTATTATATTGAAAACAAATCAAATAGGCATACTTACACCCACAATTGGGCCCGTAATCTCTGCACCAGAATCGGCGGAGAAAGATGGTGATAAACAACTGTCATCGCATACAGCTTTGACTGTAACTGTACGGAAATAGCAGAGAGCGTAGAAATCATGGGTGTCCTTAATCCATTGGATTTCTTTTCTGGTAAATCTAGGTAGCCTTGAATCGCATAGACCTTGTTGTTCAGACAGTTGACCAATTCTGTCTATCATTGCTTGAGGATAGTCCCCGATGTAGATGGGATGGGCAAACCAACCGATCTTAAATTTTTAAAAATTTGTTGCTATTACTATGAAGTTAATTATTACTTTTAAATTAGGCAGAATTAAAGATTAATGTAAACCCCTTGCAGAAAGGAATAGTAGTGGAGGTCAGTAGTACTAGCCAGTAATGGGTAATATTAATCATCCTTTTACTGTCTTCGCTTCAACGTCTAGTTGGATATTGGCTGCCACTAAGATTTTGTATTAGTGGACACCAAAGGTTCAATAACGTGACCTAATGGCAGCAAATATTGAACGTTCCTAAAAGGTAATGGCCGTCAGTAGAGCGCTAGAAAGTTGCGTTTGGTTTTACATTTAAAGTTTGTTTATTTACTTTCGTTGCGAAATGAGCCTGTATTATAAATTTACATATTAGAAATTAATAATCTGTAAAATCTCTCCTTTATATATTCATGTAATGCTGTGGTTATTGCTGTAAAATCTTCTGGCATAAAACTATAAATAGTGTTGACTGGTATTCGAAATGTGATTGTTACAGTTTGTTTACTGTCATCCCCATTAAAAAATCGTAAGGCAACCTCTAATTTTGAACGGGCAGAATCTAAGTCTCTCCATAGCGTATATTTTATGCTCAATGAAATTAAACAGGTCATTTTCATAACAGTTTCCTCTTCCATGTTCTCACACATCAATGTTACACTCACCACTCTAAAACAAACTAGCGACTGACTGCTATTTAAACTAAGGTCATATCAGCAATAAAAGAAACCAGATGATTAATACCACTGCTGTAGTTAATGGAAAATTTTTATGCAGTAGTGTAGGGAACTCACCTGGAATTGTAATTTTTGTTCAGATGCATCTTTATCAGATTGACAGTCAGAAGCAGGCTCAAACCAAGGTGAATGCAGAGACATCGCTATTTTACCTAAAATTATTGATAAAAATAAAACTTCTTAGCAACAAAAACCATAAGAATTCATCAGTTATTAACAATTTATTAAAATGAATAAAGCTCAAAATCAATGCTACAAAATTATTTATTATGAACTCGATGTCTATCTTCAAGCCTTCATTACAAAATAACACAAATTTGCAATAAAAAAGTTACTTAGGAGTCAAACTCACATATAAAACTACAATAGCTCTCGTAAGCTGTAGAAGAATATGTGGGAAAAACTGGGATCCAAACCCCAAAATGACCATATGGTTATTTATACACAGGGGTAATAAGACCCATGATAACCACATACAAATTTGATCCGTTGCAGAGTACCATAGGTACTCTCTGGTTCCTAATTATTTTACCAGCTTTAATACTTCGTCCTTTCTTGTATTGTAAGACGGATTCCATTCCTGATCAATTCATATATCATTGAATATCCTTTTTATCCCACTTGGATTAAACAAAAGATAATAAAATAACTACCTATCAGATTGTCAAAATTTCAACCGCCTCGCTTTGAAAAGTGTCACTCTCAAGTCTATAAAGATCATAATTCTATATCTTGTTTTATTAACTCAAATTGCTTTTAATCTTTTTGTGTTAACCGTTTTATTATTAAATTTAACCACATATATTTATAATAATATATATTAATAATACTCTCCCTTATTCATCCCATTTCTAGTGAATTTTAACCCCAAAAGCTTAACTTGTCTGGGGTGACCTAAAGATGATTGATCGCAGGCCTGAAAATGGCCATGAAGGACGAAACCATTTAGTTGATGACACATATTTTTGTGCTATCGATTTTGAGCTTAATTCATAATTCACTGTTGGCCATTTTTGAAAAAAATGGATGATCTTTCATTCAAAAGTGTTATGGGTTGGTTTATTGACTATGTTTTGGCTGTTGAATAAATCATCAGGGTCATCTTCAACTCCTAATATAACCTACGTGCTACTAAATATTTTCTAATTGTATTATTATCGTTACATAAACTTACCTTTTTGCGTAGCTCTGTAAACATCATCATACAAGTGATACGCTTCAGCATGAGCCTTTAGTACATTATGTCCGCAAATGTAATCATTGACTCCAGGATTGTCGCTGACACCAGGAGCAAAAGTACCATCACCGTAACCTAAGTTGCATATCTCTGCGGGACCATTGAACGTCAGCCAATATTTAACACTAGGTCCGAATATCTCGAAAGCAACCCTGACGTATTCTACGTACCAAAGAGGGAATTGATCGCAGAGGAGACCTCCTTTGTCTTCCAGGGCTTGAGGCAGATCTCCGTTGAAGAGGTCCACAATTGGTTCGATTTGGTTTTCTTTTAGGAGTTGTAGAAGTCTCTGGTAATGGCACACGGCGGCTTTGTTAATTTCTCCATGCCCTAAAAGTGAATTTAATGAAATTATGGCCCAGTTTTAATTATCATAATCTTGCCTTGTATTTTTAATTTCTGTTAATTTTATGTTAAGGTCATGTTGAGATTATTAAGTACCAAAGTATTATTGTTATAAATTTCCTTAAGCCCTTGAGTAAGTAGAACAGAGTCAATATTCTTGTACCACAATGTGGTGATCAAAATGTCGCAAAGATATCTAATACTATGGAAACAACACAAATGAAAAATAACTATCACACTAAACATTACCTTGGGGTATGAGTCTGGACCAAGATAGTGAAAATTTGTAATGCCTAACTGTAAGATTGTTCAAAATTTCAACATCTTCTTCGATATGGTTGTAACTATCAGCTGATTCGTCTGCGTTGGATCCATCCAATATGGCCGATGGATTAGTGTGTGTGAAACGGTCCCAGACGTTCTCACCTTTACCATCTTGAAGCCAAGCTCCTAAAAATAGAATTAAAGTGAAATTTGCCACTAATATACTGTTATTTTCTTTCTCAGTGTAATATTCCAACTAATTTACCTTCATGAAGATATGCTCCAGATGATACTCCAAACGAGAAAGATTGTGGAAATATATCGTGATCTTCTATTGGAGGTAGTGGTGGTGGTGGTGGAGGTGGGTGTTTGTGAACTGGGGGATGTACTGGTGGATGGTGTGGCGGATGTCGTGGTGGTGGTACACCATAACTGAAATAAATTGAAGAAGTGAATTAGAGCGGTAATAATTAATATATTAGGAAACAGGAAGACTAAGAAAATGTTGGGGAGTTCAATGAGAAGAAAGTCCTGGAAACGTGTAGAAGATTGAATAAAAACGATATAGAACAATAAAAATGAATACACAGACTACAATTATAGGAATACTGGGTACAAGAAGCATTAAATAGAGAAAACAGAACAATTCTGTAACTACAGTTATTATCCATCAATTGTCAATCAATTTGTTATGTAATTACTTTTTTAAAAACAAAGTAACCTTGATAAAAGTCTTCTGGTATATACGTTTGTTATAAAAGTAGTAAATGTGTTGTAAGTTAGTCTTCCAATAACTTCCTTCGGACGGGGAGGTAAAATGCTAAATATCATTTATTATTAGGTATTTTTTATATTTTAATTTAAAATTAAATATAAAAGTAATGTGCAATACGCAATTTTATCGCAAGCAAAACATGTAGTCTTTGCTGCAATTATGAGATACTTTAAATTAAAATTTTCATTATCTAAAGGTCTACATTTCTTTCTAGTTGCGCTTTATCACCAATGATGTTTGGTTGCTTCTAAATCACTCAGATCTACTCTTCTAACTATTATTTATTACCGATTTTACTTAGATAATTTTAATTTTCTCGAAGAGGTAACATAACAACTGATCTTGGTTTTGCTCTTTATCTAGTAATTGTATGATATAGCATAGACTCCAATAAACAACAAAAAAAACTAGTTGATATGTTTTTTAAATATTGAGGTAAAAATAACTTGATATTAAATTAGTAATAGCCAGTAAAGATGAGTTGTATACACTGTTTTTTCTACAACTATTCAAAATAATAAAAAATAAATATTTTCAAAATTTATTGAAATAAAAAAGAAATTATTGCTTTATATTAAGGAAAAATTAGTTCTTGTACCTTATGTTTGTAGTATCTGTAGTTATTTCTAAAGATAATTCATCTATTTAAAACAAATATTATTAAAAAATATGTTAACATATCTTACCTAGCTCGTCCTAAAACTACTAGTACGAAAAACTGCAATAAAAAATTCATATTATTTTAGAAATGATTTATTCTAAAATAAGTGTTTTTTTCAAATAGGGACAGTATTTAAATAAACTTTGTTGGAATATTATTGGAAAAGTTTGGCTTAAAATGTAATTTAACACGAACCGTTCAGTTTTATTCCAATTTAACAGTTTTCTGATTATAAATTTAATATTAATTACAATGATAATAATATAGAGGTAATTTGAATGAACATCGTTGTTTGTGTTTATTAATCATTAGTGGATATGATGGCCATATTTCACGAAGTATATGCAGGATGCGAAGTACTCAATTATCCGAGATGTACAGTATATTTTTTTTACGACTCACTAAATAAAATTACAAATTTTTAAAAATTTATTTGGGAGCTATTGGATAAAGTAACTAGGAGCTATTGGATAAAGTAACTATTTTAAAAATTTAAATGTACAATTTTTACTAATTTATATATATAAAATTGTTTGTCCTGACTGACTGACTGACCTATCAACGTACAGCCAAAACTACTGAGCCTAGAAAGCTGAAATTTGGAACATAGGTTTATTTTATAACGTAAGCATCCGCTAAGAAAGGATTTTTCAAAATTTTAACTTTAAAGGGGGAAATTGGAGGAAATGAGGGGAGGGAGCTTTTAATGAAACTCTTTGTTCTTTAAAGTTAGAAACATGAAAATTTAAATTACAGCTACTAAGCATAAATAAATAATGACGTGTTTCAGGGTTTTTCGATTTTCACATTTTAAGGGGGGTGAAAGTTTGTATGGGACTATTGATTTTTTTGTTCTCTGTTCTCTTCAAAGTTAGAAACATGAAAATTGGAATTGCAGCTACTGACTACAAATTATTAATGACGTATTTCAGGATTTTTGGATTTTTACATTTTAAGGGGGGGAAATGGGGGGTGAAAATTTATTTGGAAGTATCTATGTTTTTGGTTCTCTTTAAAGTTAGAAACATGAAAATTGGAATTACAGCTAATTAATACAAATTATTAATGACGTGTTTTAGGGTTTTTGGATTTTCACATTTTAAGGAAGGGAAATGGGGGTGAAAGTTTATTTGGAAGTATCGATTTTTTTAAAGGTAGGAACTTGAAAATAGGAATTGTAGGTTCTTATAATAAATAAATAACGAAGTGTTTCAGGGTTTTTGCATTTCAACATTTTAAGGGGGAAAATGGGGGTGAAAATTTGTTTAATAGTATGTATATATTATTTTCCCTTGTAAAATTCAAGGAAAGATGAGATGAAACAAGAAACTGCAGAATTGTCAGGGAGATCTTAAGTTATCCTGACAATACTGCAGCAAACAAATACTTGACTATGACTAGACAGAATCTGCACCTAGTCACAGGCATTCTAATTTCCAAGTACGGAAACATCTCCATATCATGGGGCTGTCAGAATCCGTACTCTGCAGAGGGTGCGAACAAGAAGATGAGACCATCGAGCTTATCCTTTACGATTGCTCGACGTTCCCATTTATTAGAAGATTTTTGTTCGGCTAGTATCGACTAACACCAGCTGATACAAGAAAAGCACCTCTTGGTGACGTTGTCAACTACATTAAATCTTTAGGCTGGCTCACGAGCTAGAAGGTGTTTATCATCTTAGGAGGATGCACAATGGGCCTAATGAGACATAAGTGCTATGTGGTATCCTACCCTCTACACGTTACAGATACAGATACCTATAGAACGCTAGTGTTGCATTCGTGCGGACGAAAACATTTTCCTATTCCCATTTTCAACTCGTTTTTCAAGTTTCCGATAACTCTTATACCATAAATGCACGATAACTCTAAAACGAGAGCTCCTATTGATTTGCAGTTTTGATTTTTTGAATAATTTCTTAAAACCTTCAAATTTACTAAATTGAATATCAATGTTTTTAAAATTGAATGCATTTCTTATCAAGCTTATTAATTCACTCATAGCGAAATCAGATTGTACAGTTGTCAATTATGACTCTACAGTTTTTTTTTCTATATTGGTTAAAGCATTTTAAAAATTCTGAATGTTCAATTAGTGAGTTTTCCTACGAGCACTTGGAAAGTATCCTATACCACACGCGTGTGGGTAATAATCTACTTTTCGCACGTGTATGTATAAGATTATCTGTATGAGAATCTACTTTTTGCATCAACTGTCAAATATGTCATATGTATTGTTTCTAAATTGGTAACATTGATTTATCTATCTAGATCTAAGATATTTATTGTTACAACAATTTAAAAGTAAGTACATATTAAACTATTATACTTTTTAAATAACTTTAATATTATTGGTAACAATGATACATGTCTATATGATGACACTTTATTCTAAGGTTTTGCTGGCTTAGGAATTAAGATAACCTCAGCCATTTTTCACGCATCTGGTATATATTTAAGGCTTAATACTGAATTTATGAAGTAAATTATGACAGCTTTCCTGGGCAATTTCTTTAATTTTTTCCAGCAATAAGGTCATATTTTGGGGCTTTTTGTGGGTTGATGATTGTTTAAATTTCTTTTGGAACTTCATTGGGAGTAACTAACCTAAATTTAAGTTGTTCCATATTATGGATCTCCTCGTTAGAACTGTTTTGATGTTCATCTAATTAAAACGTCTTTTGTAGGTTGTCATTATTATTGTCTCTTGCCAATTTTTTTTAGCTATTCTGATAGGAGTACAGTGGTTATATGAATTTTTTATCTTCTTAGTTATCTTCCAGAGCTAAAACTTTTAATATGTATCATTTCGTGGAGAACCCTGTATAAATAAAATTATTTTTAAATTGTTACATTTTTTTTATTGTGCCGGGAAAACAATAATAAATAGAAATAATTGGTTTTGGATCTACAGATCAAGGCATCAATTTATTCAATGAGATGTACGTATCAATAGAAACAATTATGTATTTTTAATGTTAAGTACTTTCAACTCGAGTTATGCACTATAATTTTTCTGTAAACTACTCCTCTCTATCAAATAAATAAAAAATTAGTTATTTTATTTTCCACTGACGCATTGGTATGTTTGTAGCAATTATTTAACAACTTTACAATAATTATAAAAAGAAAAACTGTCACATTTTAGATATCTATTTAAATTTCTTTAACACAATAGTTTTTCCAATTCAAAACGACGCTGTACAATGAAAATAAACATATCAAATCGAACGGAAATCGGTGCATCCTGCTGAATAAATAACCAATATTATAGGTGTTAAATATTTCTTGGCAACAGCAGGTGTTCGTGTCCAGAATTTAAACGCCCCACATTTAAAACTTTATCTGTTTTTCTTCGACAGCAACCGTACAATTTAAAGTATCGTTTAAGTTTAAAATGACTACCACTTGTAAAATGCAAAGTAAATAGGTACATACAACTGGATAATTTTAAAATCTTGTTTTGTTTAAAGACAGTTTAATTTGAATATAGTGAAAGATGGTGTCGAAAATATACATTTTATTCCCGTTTATTCGCAACATCTACCCGCATCGCTACATATAAACGAAGAGGTCGATGCTGCATGAGCTGCATCATCTCGTTTTATTGCTGTATTATTCCTAGACCGGTACGTGTTGCAACGTTTCGAATATAAATAGCCATAAATCATAAAGAATGTTATAAAGTAGTGAGGAATCTAAAACCACAAAAGCCATGTACAATAGTCAAATTGATAATTATAAATTCATGAGACTCTGAAAACCAGAATAATCAACTCATTATGATGATTTGCTGCCATCAAAATTGATAGATGGATAAAGATAATCTTATAGGAGCAGACGATAGTTTTCAAGGAGAAAATGCTCACTTTCTTACATATTTTTATGATGACCTTTACAAGCATTTGCTTCTTTCATAAAGAACTTCCTTGAACAAAGACAAAGCAACACTTTTTATCAAATAGAGTTTCTGTATCTTGCATTTGTGTTTTTTAGCAATTCAGGTGCATCTCTGCTTCTTCTATGGGGTTCCAACTTACCTTCTCTCCTCTAGACTTCTTCTGGCGACACTTCAGTCTCATACTCGTTCTCATTCACTCCACCCATAAATGCTACTGTCTTTTTTTTCTTTGAGGTAGACATTTTATATAGACGCTTAGAAAAGTCGCATGTGCTGGGAAGTATGGGAGTTACGTAAAGTATATCCTTAAAAATCTTCGTTTTGCCAGGATTATCCACTAATAAACATAACTTTAGTATGAAGAAAATAGTGGATCTTTGATGTTCAGGTACTGGATGCTTCCATGTCTACATATTTTCCAGTACTCTTTCTTCACATTCTTTTTCTTTAATTATTCCATGATTGAGTTCCATCATTTATCTGCATCTGCAATCACTTTTTGTGATCGTCTTTTGTTACTCGTTCCTTGATTCTTTTTTACTGCTGTCTGTCCATTTGATTCTGATTCTAGCATATTTGCTTTGTTACACTAGTATCACATGTCGCTTTCATTTTTTCCTATTCTATGTAGGTAGAAACCAAATGGTTCCTGTTATAGTTTGAGTTGTATAATATTCTAAATATCCCATTTTCTTTTACTCCATGCCGTAAGGTCTTTCATAAATGTTTTGCTTCATCCATGAAATTGATCATACATCTCTTTGCCATTATTAAAAATAATACATTTGTTCCTCCATTTTTAAAAATGTGGGTCCTCAGATACTCGAAATAATCTTCTTCAGGTTTTTAATCGTTTTTAAGAATATTTGTCTAACATAGCACGTCATTGTGATGCTATCGTCAGTTCTTGCTTCCATATATTTTATGTAATTTTGGTTAATCAGAGTAATGTTTCCTATTAAATAGGATTCAATTGCCTTCGGAATTACCTTCAAAATTACCACATGATTTTTTAGGGGCAATTTTAATTCCTATTACTTCTGATTTTTTAGGTGTTATTATAGGAAACGTACAGATAAAAAATAAGTAGAAAGTTACTCATTGTCCTACAATGTGCTGTGGTCGTCATAAGTAAATGTAGAAGAAAGAAGAAGAAAGAGAAAAGCGTAGGAAGAAAGAAGAGGAGGAAAAGGAAAGGCGTAGGAAGGAAGA